TGAAGTAGGAAGGGGAAGATTTGTTGGGAGTTGTTCCTCTTTCAATGCTTGGCTCAAGTCCCAAGAGGTTGGAACTCTCAATTTTTGGTGCAAGGCTCAAGGGTCATAACCTTTGAGTGGTTCAATGTCTCTCCATAAATGAAGGTGCAAGGCTCAAAGGACACATCCTTTGAGTGGTTCAATGTCTAGGTTCTTCTCCCTCACCTATATAAGCTTATAGTGTGTGAGGTTTAGTGATATGAATGAGAGATGAGATGAAAAATACCTCTAGAGAGAAGCTTGAGTGAGACCTCTTTAGAGAAGTTTGATATTACCACCGTACTTGATGAAGTTTGATTGTACATCTAGTGAAAGGCTAGAGATGTTTGATTGTTGTAACTCATTATTCTTATAGTGGAAGTTTGATTCTGGACTAGTGTCCCGTGAGTTTTTACTTCTTCACATTGGAGAAGATTTTTTCACGTTAAACAAATTGTCTGTATTCTTCTCCATCTTTCTCCTCTTGCATTTTACTGTTTCGCTTCCGCAATCGACTTGAGGGTCCGACTTGACCCAACACTTAGTTTAGATTTTGATCAATTTCGAAATTATAATATTGGATGTGGTATATAAAAGCGTAGAAACTAATATCTAAAATATCAAATAGTTATCAAAAGGAAAACCTAGTGAATATGCGCCATACTATGGTCATTTGTTGTACTCCACTAAATTCACTGCGTTTACTGATCACTTAATTCAATTTTATCACAGGATTCATAATCTAAAAGATTGACTTTATTAGAAAGCAATAAGATTACAAATTTACATAACCATGGAGGCTGATTTCATCCGTTATGATTGTAATATGCATTATTCAACTCCTGTAATTTCGAATTTATCACTTTAATTTATTGTTTATAATTTTTATTATTCAATTCGTTAAATGTTAAAAATATCCTTATTATATAAAATTTTACAATATCTTTAATAAATACTAATATAACCTACAAATGAAATGTAAACATATCCCTAATTAAAAAAAAAATCTTAAAATAATATATAAATTGTACATAAATAATATTTCATTTATAAAATAATGAAATAATAGGTATTATGTACTCAAGTAACATGTTTAAATTTTTCAAATAATATATGAATTTACAGTATGAACAAAATTTATCATTTATAAAAATTCTTTATTTGTTTTCAATTAATAAAAAAATTTCAAATTCAAAAGATGAGAAAAAAGTGTGACGTAGAAATTATAATATCAATAAAAATAATTTTATTAATCAATATACTTGTAAGTATTTAAAAATTAATATATTATATCTAACTATAACAAATCTCGTATCCTAAATATGAAACCAAAATATTAATATATTTCTTAATTTGAATATATTTAATTTATAAATTAATTAATAATTTTAAAATAGAAATAAAAAATATTTCTATATTCAAATTTTTATAATGATCATATTCAAATTATTTTTATAATTTGAATATATTTCTTAATTTGAATATTTAAAAGCAAAATAATTTATAAATGTGTATAATTATAAATTTGTATGATTTGGAATATATTCTTAATTTTATTTGGTCTATTTGAATAAATGATAACTGTGTGATTTTATTGAATCAATTAAATATATTCTTAATTTGAATATTTCTTAATTTTTATGAATTTGTATATTAGGAAACGCATCTATTCCTATATGGTGAGTAGCACATATATGTGCTGGTATTGTGAACGAAAAAATAATACTTTTTAGTGTGTATATGAATTATAATTTGCGAAATTGATCTTAATTTAATTTGATTTTGTAAACTTATTTTGACCAAAAATATTCGTATACTTTTGCCTTAAAAGTGAATTTGAGTATTTAATTTTGGTAATAAATGTCTCAAATCCGACATTTGAGACCAATATCATGCTAAACATATACCCTAACTCAAATTTTGCCAAGCAAGTTGGTTAAAGATCAAAAATCAAATCGTGATTTGGAATGAACAAACTAAATTTGTTGAAAACCAATGTGTCAAGGTTGAAATTGAACCCCGAATGCTATCCCATCGGAACTATTACACCGACGTTTTTGGTCTGAAAAAAGTCGTTAAAGAGCTTGCTGTCAAGTGTCCCCACAACGCTTTTTGTGTTTTTTTTTTTATTTTTTTTTTATTTCAATTGTTTTTTTTTTTTTCGTTGAATAGCTTTGACTTGTTTACACAAAATTTTGTATAACAGAATAAACAGATTGCTTTTATGAATTTATTTATTTTAGTGGGATTAATATTTTTTATACTGTAAGAGGTGATTTGACGTAACAGCGAATCTAACGTAGTCAACTCCTACTGGGATTATTCACATGTTAATACTATAATAGCGTTAGAAGCATCCGTATCCTTCCTTTCTCCGGCCAGCTTATTTGGTTGAACTTGGGCACATCTATGGCCCCACGCTTCTCAAACTTCCAAATGTCATATATATATATATATATATATATATAAATTATCATTTCTCAAGCTGTTTGAGATAATCTTATCTTCGGCTACTATCATAACCGTACAAAGATGGATCAATGATGATAAAGGAAGAGAGAGAAAAAGAGAATCATAGCCATTCAAAAGTGAATCAATTAATATAAGAAAATAAATAAATAAAACGACGTAGTTTTGGAATAGCCGGAGATAAACTTATCTCAAGCTGCTTGAGAAATATTTTTTCTATATATATATATATATATATATATATATATATATATATATATATGAGATAAGATTCTTTAATATCGGTATCAAACTTTAAAATTTAATATCAAATCCTAATCATTTACTTTCGCCGATCAACGATTATCATTTATTGAGAATTAATAGTTAATTAATAAATTTGATTCCCAATAAATGATAACCATTGATTGGAGGAAACCAACGGTTAGAATTTATTGGGAACCAAATTTATTAATTAAATATTAATTCTTAATAAATAATAACCTTCGATCAGCAGAAATCAATGATTAGATTTGTGTCAAATTTTAAAATTTAACACCGGTGTCAAAAGATTATATCTCATAAATATATGGCTTTAATATTTCTGCGATGAATGCAAATAAATTATCTGCATTCACTCCCAAAATGATGCCGTTTTGGGTTGAAAGATTAAAAAATTATAACGATAAAGACTGTTATAATGCTGTAATAAATTATAATTACAAAAACACCTTGATTTTCGCCACAAGACGTTGTCGTTTTGAGCTCAATGGAGATAAATTATCTGTATTTACTGTAGAAAATATGTATAATATTTCTATTTTTTACAATTTATTTTGAACGCGAACTTCCTTTATCCTAACAAAAACGACGTAGTTTTCAGGTGACTGCACCAATGCTTATATGCAGTCACGTTACAAATCATTTTGCAATATATATATATATATATATATATATATATATATATATATTTATGTATGTATTGGGCAGGATCATTTGATATCGGTGTCAAATTAAAATTTGACACTTCATCCAAGAGTCGTTAAATTAAGGTAGATCAACAACAGTATCACATGTTTACTAATTAGAGCTGTTAGATCAAGGTAAAATCAACGACTTTCAAACGAGGTGTTAAACTTTTTGTTTGGCACCAATAACAAATGATTTTGTCCCATATATATATATATATATATATATATTCTGATATGGTATATATATATATATATATTTCTCCAATCCCTCAATATTTTTTTCTTCTAGCTTCATATTGGCGTGATTTTGTGATAATACACAAGAAATAAAATTATCTCTTATTATCACAAAACGATGTAGTTTTGGCTCAACGGATAAACAATAAACTCTCTCTCTCTATATTGTTATTGAGTTGAATTAATTACATTACATATTTACCAAAAAAATAAAAAATAAAAAAAATTACATTACATGATATTAGAGTTTATATCATCAAATGGTCACAAGTTGTCTTTAAAATTGGGCCAGTAAATTATCCAATTAATAGCTTCAATATCAAAGTTATATAGTATTATGTATGTGCGTATTTGTATATAGATGTTACTTTCCTTGTGTTTGCATATGCTGTTCCGTCTTTAATCCTTTTAAAATTAACCATTTGGATTATGAATGCGGTTTTGTTTTTTGTTCTGGTTTTACATGATCACCTCATTTCTTAGGAGACAGCAACAACTATCAAGGAACATATACTTCTCACATTCTGCAACAAACCCATCTTCTGTTTTTCAATCCTCAATATGGTTTTCTGGTTTGCATAGATTTCTTTGGCCTGTGGCTGAATTGGTTGTTTCATGTTAGATGCTAATTATCCTTGTCGGTGGCGAATCAAGGAAAGAAAGTGGGACTTGGAAGAAATTACCAGAGCTGCAAATTCAAGAAGTTAGTTTTATGTGACTTGGCTTTGCTTGTGGGAATGTGTCTCACTTCAATTGGTGCTCCTTCTCTGTTTGTTTGAATAGCCCTAAGGAACTAAACTTTCCCATAAAGTGCATTTCCCGCCCCAAAATCTGTGAGCACATATGATTTTATAACTCGTATGCTAAACCGGTTCTATAGTTCCCTTTTTTAGCCACTAGTGGTTAAGAGGTTGATTTGTTATTTGTTAGGATCTTCTTGATATGCTTTTTGGTCATTCCTACTTTCTTATATCAGCTGTTTGTCTTTAATAAGAATATAAGAGTTGATGTTTTAAAATTTGGGTCAAACTTTTGATTTTGAATACATTCAATGTAATAAGTACCATTTAGGAGTTTAAGGATATTGGATATCATCTCCATGGAGATGCCATTACATACGGAATCTACTAATAATTGGAGAGTCTCTATATAGCTTCATCTCCAAGTTTCGTGTTTATTCTGTTTCAATGTTCACAAGAATCCTGGTCTTTGCAAACACGGGTAGATCTTCACTAGCAAAAAGGCTTTACATTATTTAACCCCTTTTCCTTGCTCTCAGCATCATATTGTTGATCGAGAGAAGTTGACACTTACTGGAAAATCGGCATGGCTTCTGGTAATTCAAGATTTGTAAGGTGAGTCTCTTTCCTAGGACATTTCAAGTTCCAAGTTATACTACTTTTATAGTCCAATGAACTTCTATGCTAATCAACTGTCAATTGTATGCTTTCAGTAACTGAATAAATCGATTTTCATCATTTATAAGCCTTTAAAATGAAGTTTCACATTTTAGATTTCAAGATGATCCTGAACTAGCAAAAATCCCAACAACTAACGGTGACATTGGAGTCAAGTTTAAATACAACTTTGATGGAACACTAGTAGCTGAGCCTAGTGCCAAAAAGGGTCAGAAGGAGGAGACAAGGAAGACAGGAAAGTTCATGAAAGCTAGAGTATTATCAAGAGTATTCTCAGAGGACTACGATAGAGTAAGAAGAAGAATATTAGATCCCCGGGGTCAAACCATTCATCGCTGGAACAAGATTTTCTTGGTAGCATGTTTAGTTTCTTTGTTTGTGGACCCTCTCTTCTTTTATTTGCCACTAGTTCGAGATGAAGTATGCATTGATATTGGAACAGCACCTGAAGTTATCCTCACAATTATAAGATCAATGGCAGATGTCTTTTACATGATTCAGATTCTCATGAGGTTTCGTACAGCTTATGTTGCTCCTTCTTCCCGGGTATTTGGGAGAGGAGAACTTGTTATAGACACTTCTAAGATAGCAAATAGGTACCTCTGCAAGGGTTTCTGGTTAGACTTTATTGCTGCCTTGCCCCTTCCTCAGGTATGTTACTGAAGATTTCCCTTATCTTAAACAAAAACCTTGGTGTTTTAACTTGCTAAATATGCTATTCTGTTGTGTTCATTACAGATGTTAATTTGGATTGTCATCCCCAATCTTGGAGGTTCAACCATGGCTAACACAAAAAATGTCCTTCGCTTTATCATCATTTTCCAATATTTGCCGAGGCTATTTCTGATTTTCCCACTTTCATCCCAAATAGTAAAAGCTACAGGGGTTGTGACAGAAACAGCATGGGCAGGGGCTGCTTACAACTTGGTGCTTTACATGCTGGCTAGCCATGTAAGTATCTGAAAATTTGCATTTTCTTGATTGCTCAATCAGGGGACGTTGCCACTCCCACTATATATATATGACAGCTTTTTCCACTTTCTTCTTCTTCTTTTTCAATCATGTTTATTAAGGAAAATCCATTCTTAGATTAAGAGGAAAAGATTTAATGTGTAGACCAAATTCTATGTTATAAGAGGTGAAGTGTAGCAAATTGATTAAGCTGAGTTTCTAAGACGGGCTTTTATTATCTTGATTCAAATAGTTTATGCCAAGCTAAACTAAAACGTGGTCTTTTTTAAGTTTTTGCCTATAATTGACATTTATATAACTTAAAATGGTCCGTTTTAGTGACATCTATGGCTATTATATACCAGCAAATTCTTCAGCTACTCTTAGGTTCTAATTTCTAGCATAGGCATATATATTAGTCTTGCAAAATTTATTTCAGGATTGACTGTTACACAATTTTTTCTTTTGGCAATAAGTATGCATGTATTACATTACTAATACAAAGAAATTTAATATACTATACTTCATACTTTGTTTTGTTTTGTTGAAGATTTTAGGAGCTTGCTGGTACCTTCTATCAATTGAACGACAAGAAGCATGTTGGAGGAGTGTCTGTGATCTGGAGGAGTCATCTTGTCAATATAGATTCTTTGACTGCAACATGGTTAAAGATGCCCACAGGGTATCCTGGTTTATAACAAGTAATGTCACAAATTTATGCTCACCAAATGCTAACTTTTATCAGTTTGGTATATACGGTGATGCAGTGACATCCGAAGTTACAATCTCAGCATTCTTTATTAAGTATTTCTTTTGTCTATGGTGGGGCCTAAGGAATCTGAGGTAAGTCTTATTGGGGATTCTCCTATGTGCCAGTGCTACCATATTTCAACAATTCCACCTAAGTTAAGCATTAAGATTATCACCTTGCTTTCTTCACATTTTAATTTTCTGTGTACACAACTTTTAAATTTTCAATTTTTCCTGCTCTGGAAAGAAGGATTTTTTGTGCATGAGAATAAGGATTTAAAACTAATTAAAAATTGTTTATATGTTTTATTTAATGAGCCATATTGATTATAGTCAATTTTTTGCATGGGAAGGACAGATAGGTAACTCCAAATGCTGAGATCTGTGACAGTATGAAAGTTGGAATTTTCAGTCATCATCATTTGATCTGATGTTTCAAAATGCTACTTCTCTACTTCATTTTTTTCATCTTGTTTTGTAAATGATAATGATGTCTTCCTGCATGGCAGCTACAAACTTGATAAAATGAGGGAAATGTTTTGCTGCCTTTTTCCCTAGCCTCTAGAACAAAATTTCTCATCTAGGTGCCCATGACTCATTGAATATTTTTTTATCCCTTGATCATTAAAGAGTTTCTGATTGCTGGATGCAGTTCTTTGGGACAAGGTCTTCTTACTAGCACTTATGTTGGAGAAATAATGTTCGCCATTGTTGTTGCAACCCTTGGATTGGTTCTTTTTGCATTACTGATTGGTAATATGCAGGTAAGTGAAGTTAAATTATGTCTCTTAGCAAAAGTCCTCTTTTTATGTCTTGAAAATGAGAAGATAATGCCTGAAGACAAGGACCAAAACCAGCTTTGTATTGCCCAAATTCACGCTGTTAATTGCTTGGAGGACGTGCTTCATGCAGAATTTTTTGTTCTCTTTTTACTCTCATTTGTTTCATTCTAAGAATTTGCATTTGATTGAAAACTTTCATTCCTTACATGAATTAGTTCCAAAGCAATTACTTTTGAGAGATTGAGCCCAAAATCAACCTCAAACTCACTGTTGTAATTTTAGTTTGCCACATTGAATTTGCAAAAGAAATTTCACCAGCCTGAATTTACTTTGTTCTATAGATTTATTAATAGAACTAAAATTTTGGCAGACATACCTACAATCAACTACTGTCCGCTTAGAAGAGTGGAGGGTCAAGAGAACTGATACAGAACAATGGATGCGTCACAGGCAGCTACCTCCAGAACTAAGACAATCTGTGCGTAAATATGATCAATATAAATGGCTTGCTACTCGAGGAGTAGATGAAGAATCTCTTCTCAAAGGACTTCCATTGGATCTTCGGAGAGACATCAAGCGCCACCTTTGTCTTGAACTAGTTAGACGTGTAAGTCACACTTACACATCAAATTTTGTTTGTTTAACAGATAGCTTAATTTCAATCCATATAAAGATCACAACTAAGAAGATCCACTTCTGAAATCTTAATTACTTATTAACTAATCAACAGAAAATAACTATTTCAATAAAAGCTTAAGTTAATATTAGTAATTTTATATTATATTTTTCTAATAAATCGTCTCAAACAAGAGCTTATTGGACATGAACGATGAATAGTTTACAAACCCATGTACTTCTCTTAAGAAACTCTATAATATTTAATTATTTATTAATAAAATGGAGATGATGTGCATCAAATTCATTGACTACTTTGTTATAAAGTCTTAAAGAATCATTTCAATCAATTAACTTAAATTGTAAAGTGAATGTTGAATTAATAATTTTATATTATATTTTTCTAAAATTAATGGGGCAGGTTATATTTACATACTTTTTTGTTTACAAACTCTTACAAACTACACTAAGTACGACTAGTCATACTTTAATCATGCATTGTATGACTGGTCGTACTTAGTGTAATTTGCAAAAAAAATTTGTAAACGGATCATATCTCAAAATTAATAGGTCCCACTGTTTGACCAAATGGATGAGAGGATGCTAGATGCAATATGTGAAAGGTTAAAGCCTGCATTGTGCACAGAAAGCACATGTTTAGTTCGTGAAGGTGATCCTGTGAATGAGATGCTTTTCATAATTAGAGGGCATCTTGATTCTTACACCACCAATGGAGGCCGCAGTGGTTTCTTCAATTCATGCCGTATTGGACCAGGTGATTTCTGTGGTGAGGAACTGTTAACATGGGCCTTGGATCCAAGACCAAGTGTCACACTTCCTTCATCCACTAGAACAGTTAAGGCCATCTCTGAAGTAGAGGCTTTTGCCCTCATAGCTGAAGACCTGAAGTTTGTTGCATCTCAGTTTAGAAGACTACACAGTAAACAACTTAGACACAAGTTCAGGTTTTACTCACACCAATGGAGAACATGGGCTGCATGTTTTATACAATCTGCATGGAGAAGGTATAAGAAACGAAAGGAAGCTGCTGAATTGAAGGCCAGGGAGAATGTCACGGTTGATAAGCCTGAAACACCAACATATACATCAGGCTTAGTTGTGTATGCAACAAGGATGAAGAGGAGCACTAGGAAGGGTGTGAATATGAATTCTGGAACAAATTCAAGAGTAGTCAACTCTAATTTGCAGAAGCCAGCAGAACCAGACTTTTCTGTTGATGAGTAATGAATTTATATTGTGTTACCTTACACTTTTATCCCCCTTGTAATTTTTTTATTATTTATTCATACAAATTAGAACATAGGTAAGACATCCAACTCAAAGTTGTTCCTAAACCTTACAACTAGAAGTGTCAAAATAAGTCAAGGATGACATAGTAGAAGGAATAATCTAACAAAATGTGTGGGTTGAATTAATAAAGTGTTCAAATGAAAAGGTATTTTACATGACCCGATCTTATGTGCCGTCTAGCTTAGAATAATGGACCATAGTAACCCACAAGTAAAAAAATAAATAAATAAAATTAAGTACTTAATTATTAAGTGTTTCCTTTTAAAGTTTATTCATCCAAAAGAGGGATAATATCAGGGAAAGGGAAACAGATTTGGACTCCAAGGTTCGAGTCAAGCGATTCCCATTATAATCTGCTGCTTTTAGGGGACCAATGATCTATTTCCCCGGACACAGATCATTTTGCCACGTTGTTGGCAAAAATTTATCACAATGTTACGTTTCCTAAAATATTTGCCAAAATGCCATATCATCAAAAACGCTACAACACTTGGCGTTTTACGTTTGGCCATGTGGCAGCGTGTAAGACCTACGTCGCTTTACTAAACAACACGTTACGTGGCATTTTGACATGTGGAGAGAGAGGACTGAAGTCGCTAGATAGTGCGGAGACTATAGTGCAACGTGACATATCCATATGAAGTGTCCATAGAAAAACGAAAAGGACAATTTAATATTCAATAAATGCTAATTTGTTTTTTGTTTTCTTTTTGGAAAATATAATATACAATAAATACAATTTTCTTTTCCAAGTAGTGTACGCAAGCACGGAAAACATCTAACAGTTGCATTATCCAAACCTACTGTTATCAGCTCAATGAATTAATCAATTCTGTTAATTTAAAGTATAATAAATACTGATTTGTTTTTTATTCTCTTTTTGGAAAATATTATAAACGATAAAGACAATTTGCTTTAAAGGAAATGTTTGATATAATTTTATTGATTTTAAATTTAATGTCCAATATTTCTTTTTGCAAAATTGATTAATTCATTGGGCTAATATAACTTTAAGGGAAATATTTGATATAATTAATCAATTTTGCAAATTTAATGACCAATAAATGTTGATTTATTTTTTGTTTTCTTTTTGAAAAATATAATAAACAATAAAGACGATTTTCTTTAAGGAAAATATTTAATATAATTTTATTAATTTTTAATTTAATGTCCAATATTTCTTTTTGCATAATTGATTAATTCATTGGGCTAATGTAACTTTAAGGGAAATATTTGATATAATTAATCAATTCTACAAATTTAATGTCCAATAAATGCTGATTTTTTTTTTATTTTCTTTTTGGAAAATATAATAAACAATAAAGACGATTTGCTTTAAGAAAAATATTTGATATAGTTTTATTGATTTTTAATTTAATGTCCAATATTTCTTTTTGCAGAATTGATTAATTCATTGGGTTAATATAACTTTAAGGGAAATATTTGATATGATTTTATTGATTTTTTTTTTTTTTGATAACAGATTTTATTGATTTTAATTTTGATGCAGAATTGATTAATTCATTGGGCTGATAACGGTAGGTTTGAATCATGCAGCTGTTAAATATTTTCCATGCTTGTATACGCCACTTGGAAAAGCAAATCGTCTTTATTGTTTATTATATTTTGCAAAAAGAAAACTAAAAAATAGCAATTATTGGACATTATCGTTTTTCCATGCATACTCCATATTCATATGCCACATTGCACTATAGTCTCTGCACTATCTAGTGACTTTAGTCTACTCTCTCCACGTGTCAAAATGTCCGTAACGCATTGTACAGTAAAGCGACGTAGGCCTGACATGTTGACTGGTTGAAAAATGCTGGATGGTTCAACAAGTTTATGTGGCTTTAAACTCGCTGTCACACGTGCAAACGTAAAACACTAGGTGTTGTAGCATTTTTGGTGACGTGACATTTTGGTAAATTTTTTAGGCAGCATGACATTTCGATAAATTTTTGCCAATAACGTGGCAAAATGATCATTATCCCTTATTGACCCAGTATCTCGATTAAGTTGCTTATCAGGGCTCTTTGACCAATGGGTGGTCTTTGATTTTTAATGTACCAATTTGGTATTTCATTCCCAATATTTATTAATGGGGTTGTTTAGTGCCGCGGGGGGCCTAGCGGCACTCAGTGCCACGAATCCCCTATGGCACTCACAAGTTTTTTTTTTCTTCAAATGAGTGTCGCGACCCCCCCGGTACTCACACGATTGTGCCAAGTGGCATAATCTCCTTAGTCCTGTTATCGTAAAACTTCGGAAGACTGTAATTTTTGACTCGGGAATCCAAATTAGATTTTTTTAAAAAAATTCACATAACTTTTCGAGATCTACGCAATGACATCTCATTTGGCATATTTTATTTCTCGCAAACATAGTTCGAATTTGTAACAATGATACCACAAACATAGCTTTAGAGGCATCAAGCATGTCCAACATGTTATCATCTATCTCTACTTTGTTCCTTCTTTCCCTACTGCTAGGGTTCTCCATTTTTGCTCCACTTTTTCTTCATTTTCTTTTCTTCATAAAAACATAATTTGAAATTAACTATTGTCTCGCACAGGTGTTGCTACAACTCTAACACACATAAATTCAATTAATTAAATCTCAACAAACTAATTTGAAAATCGAGGAAGCTAAACAAATCAAGGGTTTCTACCTCTTCTCGCCAAAATTTGGATTTAAATGCTCTTGTGATCGTGGAACTATTGTTCGAAATTTGAACTATGTTTATGGAAGATAAAATATGCCAAAAGAGGTGTCATTGCGTAGATCTCAAAAAGTTATGTGAAATTAGAAAAAAAGGTATATGATTTGGATACACGAGTCAAAAGTTACGACCTTTTGAAGTTTTACGGTAACATGATGATGCTCTCTGGCAAGTATACCGATCGCACAAGTAATATAATGAGTAAGTAAAGTACCGTCTCCACAGGGATTGTAAACCAAGTACTATAATAACCAGTCCTTTTAAGTTGGAAAACTCGGTTTGTTGTTTGGAAAATTGTGAATTGAATTTGAGTAACAATATGAAATAAAAATAACGACTTGTTTTTATATTTTTATTTAGAGTAAACACCCTTTTTGATCCCTGGCAATATCTACGAAATCCTTTTTAGTCCCTGGCAATAAAAAAGGACCAAATTGGTCCCTAAAATTATGAAAAAGGGCCACATTAGTCCTTAGTCCTTATGTCAACTCCTCTGTCACTATCGTGGCCCTTTTTTCACACTGTTAGGGACTAATTTGGTCCTTTTTTATTGCCAGGGACTAAAAAAGATTTCGTAGATATTGCCAGGGACTAAAAATGGTGTTTACTCTTTTATTTAAGAGAAATAAAATAGTAACAATGAGAATTAATTTTAAAAATATGAGAAAACTATTGTAGCTAGAGCGCACTCACCTTATGATCCCCACTTCTTACTTTGGATTGATTCACAATATTTATTCATATAATTACTCGGATAAATTATTATCTAAAAATATTTATTAGTTAACCCTCAATTCCTTGCAAGGTTAACCCTTTAATCCCCAATTGGAACCCCAATTCTTTGCAATGTTCCTCATGGTATTAAGCAATGAACGCAATAATTTAAGCATTCGCAATTAAATACACATCTATTCCTAGCATGCATACCAATTGTTGTCCTACCCCCTTTCAAGATCAAAACCCCAATATTCCTATCTAGGGTTCTGACCCTCAAACTATTTCCAACTATCAGATTGATCAGTTCTAATAAAGAAAATAGAAAATACGCATAAGGTAGAGACAAAGATAATTATATAAATGAATAAAACTAAATCAATCCATCGTAACAAGGGTTCACATAGGGCTCGTGACCCTAACTACAATAAAAGAAAACTAGCTAAGAATAATTCAATATTCAAAAGCATAAAATTACAGAGAAATAGATGAAGAAGAAGAACTGTGGAAGAATCCTTCTGAGCTCTGTCGTCGGCCTCCTTCAAAAGACTAGGTCTGAATCAGATATCTCTAGGTCTAGCACAAGGATCCTATTTATAAACTTATTTTTTTCCTTCTTCCAAAAATACCCCCGCGGAAAGACAGTGTAATTTTCTCGCAACCCGGCGCTAGTTGGCGCGGGTTTGGCGCAAATACGCACGGAGTTACTGTCTCGAATACGAAAAGTCAGACCCGATTGTGTGGACCGGCGCCAGTCCTTCACATTGGGGTGCCAATTGGCGCCATTCCTTCTTGTCTTTGGGCGCCAATTGGCGCCATTTGCTTGCTTTTGGGCGCCACTTGGCGCCATGGTGCTTTACTTTGGCGCAAGGTGGCATGGTGGCGCTAGTTTGCGCCATTCTGGGGCCAACTAGCGCCAATTCTCTGGCATTTGTACTATGATACGTCTGTGCGTGCGGAGTTGCGTGAACAGGCTTTTTATAATTTGTAATTTTCACTCATCTTTTTCTGTAAAAACACAACCAAAAGGTGAATATTATTGACATAGAAAGAATCAATATAAATAGCAAATATGTATTTAAATTGCTCTCTTATGACCCAATTCTTATCAATTTTAACATGGAAAAACCACACTTGCCAGAGGCACATCAAATCATTCCCAGATTTAAACGTTGATGTCCCCAGCAATGTACAAGACTCAATCCAGGAAACAATCAATTATTCCAACACAACATTACACAGACAATCAAGAGATCATTATGCTAAGCATGACTGAATCAATGCAAAGAACACCTAACAATGCCTTCTATTCTCATGAACATGTCAGAATCTAGCTTGTACACCCCTCACCAAGATAATCATATAACGCTCAGCACTCAAGTGTTTTAGGGAGTAACAAACACTCAATCCATCACAGCAATAACATTACCATAAGCTTGATCATATTCTCAAGTTCCCAAAGATGAGGAACATTAACACATGCATAATTGATCAAAAG